GAAAAGCCTCAGAATTCCTGGATTTTCACAGCAGGGGAAGAGTCAAAGGCAATGAATCCCAAATTCCCAAATTCCCAAATTCCCAAATTCCTAACTTGGTGTTGGGCTGGTAACAGGGGGTGTCCCACCAGGGGCTGTGCTGGGACCAGAATTAATGAAAGCTGATTAAAAGTAATTAAAATCCAATAAAATGCAAAAAAATCGCCTTGAAAAATATAAAAAATTCTGTTAAAGAATATACTAAAAGCTGCGTTAAAAATGCAAAAAATTACTGTAAGAAACACAAAAAATTCCATTAAAAAATATACTGAAAATTGCATTAAAAGTACAAAAAATTCCATGAAAAAATATACCGAAAATCGCGTTAAAAATACAAAAAATTACCGTAAAAACCACAAAAATTTCCATTAAAAATATACTGAAAATTGCATTAAAAATACAAAAAATTCCATTTAAAAATATACTGAAAATCGAGTTAAAAATACAAAAAATTACCTTAAGAAAATATACCAAAAATCGAGTTAAAAATACAAAAAATTACCTTAAAAAATGCAAAAAGTTCCAATTAAAAAAAAAAACGAAAATTGCGTTAAAAATACAAAAAATTACCTTAAGAAAATATATCAAAAATTGCGTTAAAAATAGAAAAAAATGCCTTAAAAAGCACAAAAAATTCCATTAAAAAATATACCAAAAATCGAGTTAAAAATACAAAAAATTATCTTAAAAAACACCAAAAAATCCCATAAATAATAAAAAAAGGCATTAAAAAAATATGAAAAATCACATTAAAAGATATACCAAAAAATCACATTAAAAGATATGCAAAAAAATCACACTAAAAAATAAAAATTAAAAAAAAATCATATTAAAAAATGAAAAATCACATTAAAAATACAAAAACATCGCATTAAAAAAATAAAAAAATTGCATAAAAAATATACAAAAAATCGCATTAAAAATACAAAAAAATCACATTAAGAGATTACAAAAAGCCACATAAAAAATTACAAAAAATCACATTAAAAAACATGAAAAATCACATTAAAAAAATATACAAAAAATCGCATTAAAAAATACAAAAAATTGCATTAAAAAAATAGAAAAACCACCTTAAAAATATACAAAAAATCGTATCAAAAAATACAAAAAATCGCATTATAAAATACAAAAATAACTCACTAAAAATACAAAAAATTAATTCAAAAAAATAAAAATCACATTAAAAATATAAAAATCACATCAAAAATACAAAAAAAAATTAAAAATACAAAAAATCACATTAAAAATACAAAAAATCACATTAAAAATACAAAAAAGGTATTAAAAAATACGAAAAATCACATTAAAAATTACAAAAAATCACATTAAAAATATAGAAAAAATCACATTAAAAATACAAAAAAATTACATTAAAAATATTAAAAAATTACATTAAAAATATTTTAAAAATCACACTAAAAATATACAAAAAAATCACAAAAAATTCAAAAAAATCACATTAAAAATATACAAAAAATCACCAAAATTACCAAAAAATCACATTAAAAATATACAAAAAATCACATTAAAAATATTTTAAAAATCACAAAAAATTCAAAAAAATCACATTAAAAATATACAAGAAATCACCAAAATTACAAAAAAATCACATTAAAAATATACAAAAAATCACATTAAAAATATTTAAAAAATCACAAAAAATTCAAAAAAATCACATTAAAAATATACAAAAAAATCACAAAAAACCCCCAAAAAATCACATTAAAAAAAATACAAAAAAACCACCCACAACGAAACAAGTCCCGAGTCACACGAAGCACCCCTGAAATAAGTTTCCCATGAGAAGCAGAAGCCCTGGGCCCCTTTGTCCCCTGACTCACCTGTCCCTCTCTCTCTCCTTTCCTGAGGAACTTGCTGCCTTGGCCCCGGCGCCCTCGAGTTCGCTCGCACTGGAGAAGCCTGTACCTAAATTAGTCATATGAATGGGTCCATGCTATGAGCAGAAAAACACACGGCATTAGCACATCTACCTCTACAACACGAGCTCCAGCTCCTCAATGATACTGTCAGGAAAAACCCAACTCCTCACAGCACTGGGAGAAACCACTAAAATCACCACAAAAACGTTTTCTTCCTAAAAAAGGCCGAGGGTGGAAAACACCTCAGCACCTGCTGCAGGTGCAGGAGGACAAAGCTCAGAGTTTTCCTGCGTGGATTTACCTCCTCAGGTAATTCTGAGCTGGACAGGCCACAGGGATCTGCCTGTTACCTCTAAAATTCTTTATTGCCTCCAGGTAAAGATTTTATTATTAGGGTTCTGCCTCAGGCAGGGGCTGTATCATCCCTTTCCTCCCATAAAAAAATCTGAAGAACTCCAAGTTAAGTTTTCTTAAAGTCATCTAAGATTTGCTAGCTAAAAAAAAAAAAAAACAACAAAACAAATAAATGAATCTTTAAAACTAGGCTCCTTGAAATCCTCTCAAGTGCAACCTGCAAGAAAGGGAAGTGGGAAAATCTGGGAGTTATCGCCACGTTTTCCCCTCCCACTCCTTGAAACGCCCACGAAAAAAATCCACTAAGCCCCCAAATAATCCGGTTTTACATTAAACGAGTCCCACAGTGTTGTGATCTCTGAGCTGGACACGCTGCTCCAGTTTGGGATGAATTCAGTCCCAGCTTAAAGAGCAGTGACTCCACTCAGAGGCCCCAAAAGTGTGGCCTGTTCCCTGTTCTGGGATGACTGTTCTGGTCCCCCCCTGTTCTGGGACGACTGTTCTGTTCCCCCCCCTGCTCTGGGAGTGCTGCCCTCTGCCAAAGGCCCTGCCAGGGGAACTCAGCTGAGCCCCAGCTCTGTCCAACCCAGCTGTGGCTTTGGGGAATGCAGAGAATGGCTGATTTTATTCCACCTGGTATCCCAGCAGTCCCGACTCCCTCTCGTCGGGCAGCTCCTCGGTGAAGCGTCTCTTTTGCCCCTGGGGGTGGGTTTGCACTTGTGGCTGGGCACCAGTTGGCAGGCTGGTTTTTACTGGGGCAGCAGGGAGGAAAGGAGCACTCAGCGGGCTCTGGCGGGCACAGGGTGGAGACAAAACACAGGGAAAAGGGAGATTAGCACAGAAATCATTTGTTCAACGGGGTTTCACAAAGAGGGGCAGAACAAAACCAGTCTGTCTTTGGGAAATGGAAAATAGGTGAAAGAAAAGTCACAGCTTAGAGATAAATCAAATATTTCATTTGCAGAATGCTCCCACCTCAAACTCCTGTAACCCAAACTCATCCTAACATGTAACTCAGACTCATCCTAACCTGTAACTCAAACTCATCCTAACCTGTAACTCAAACTCATCCTAACCTGTAACTCAGACTCATCCTAACCTAACTCAGACTCATCCTAACCTGTAACTCAGACTCATCCTAACCTGTAACTCAAACTCATCCTAACCTGTAACTCAGTCTCATCCTAACCTGTAACTCAAACTCATCCTAACCTCTTAATTTCAACTCATCCTAACCTGTAATTCAAACTCATCCTAATCTAACTCACTCATCCTAACCTGTAACTCAGACTCATCCTAATCTTTAACTCAGACTCCTCCTAATCTGTAGCTCAGACTCATCCTGATCTAACTCAGACTCATCCTTAATCTCTAACTCAACACTCCTCCTAACCTGTAACTCAAACTCAATTCTAATCTCTAACTCATCCTAATCTCTAACTCAGACCCCTCCTAACCTGTAACCCAAACTCCTGTCCCTGGCACTGGATGAGCTTTAAGGTCCCTTCCAACCCAAACCAGTCTGGGATCCTCTGATCCTCCCCTGGCACCTTTATCCCTTCAGAGACACCTCCACCAAAGCAAACCCAGGTTCAAAACCCGCTTCCCTTGCCTGAAATCAGTCAGAATCAACCAGGGGCCTCCCAGCCTGGGCTGGGACCTCTCAGAAACGAGCCA